AGCGCCTTAACCACCTGGCCATGCTGGGCCACATACAATATACAACCACTGATAAACGAAATAGAACACTTCTGTAACAAATGGAGGATCAAAATATATATACATGAAACACAGCTAATATTAGGTCGTCAAGAAATTAATGTCGCTTTTTTTTAGATGAAAAAAACCCGAACAATTTATATATCAAAACAAAACATTTAGTAAATGAAATAGTCTCCATTCTTATCAATGATGTTTTCCATTTTACAATCAGGTTGTTAATGCCCTAATTAAAGAAATCACTTGGGTTTGAAACAAAAAAACATGTCGATGTTCTCTTCTTCCACATTTGCATACGTTTTCCCATTAAGATGGTGTTGCAGCGAAAGAAAAAGATGGTAATCTGATGGTGCCATATCTGGAGAATATGGTGGGTGAGGGAGAACTTCCCAATCCAATTCCATAATCTTGGGTTGCATCAAACGTGCCACATGTGGACATGCATTGCCGTGTAGAAGAAGAAGAACACCTTTCCGATTGACGAGTGAAGGGCGTTTCTGATAAAGGGCTTGATTTAAACGTTCCAGTTGCTGACTATAGATCTCTGCATTGACAGTTCACTGTGGATTGAGGAGTTCGAAATAAATTACTCCTTTGATGTCCCACCAAATGCAAAGCCTCACTTTCTGCGGTTGGAGTCCAGGTTTTGGGGTCGGAAGTGGTTTTGGTCTAGGACTGAGCCATTGTTTTTGTCGTTTAATATTCGCATAGAGAATCCATTTTTCATCACCGGTGACAATTCTGTCCAAAAATAGTTCACGCACATAACGCGTCAGAAGAGACGAAGCAACGTTCACATGTTGGAAACATGATCATCGGAGAGTTTTCCCATATTCCTTAGATGTTTACGTATTGTTTCATGAGACATGCAATTTCAGGGCCATTTCACGAGTGTGTTGCCATGGGTTGTACTCAACTAGCGTCCTCAGATCATCAGTAGCAATTCCAACATGTCGGCCCCTGTCATCACAGTTTTTAAGGCTAAAGTCACCTGAACGAAATTTGCTGAACCATCGCTGACACGTAAGAACGTTCAAAACATTTCATAAACTTCTTTGATATTCTTTGTGGCTTCAGAGGCGTTGTTTCCCTTCTTGTATTCAAACAGCATTACATACCGAATGTGTGTCTCGTCGTGTGCCATCACTATAAGGGATTAAAGTATACTAAACTCTACACATTTTATAGGCTACATTAACGTGACGTTTAGGCGGTTCGTTTAACTATTATACGTGATGTATGTTTTTCTTTGGGGGGGGGGTAAAGAAAGTGTTCCAAAACGCGACATTAATTTCTTGACGACCTAATATTATTCAGAACATCAGAGCAGAACGAAACCTCAACTATATATAGAAGGGACACTCCTCGTAGTCGTCACATCTGCAAAATTGTTAGGATTAACTTACGATTCTAAACTAACGTATATCGAACATATTCAGAGTATCAAAAATTGAATCTGGCTTAGAACGAGGTATCATGCGAGTCTGACAAGTAATAATCAAGTAGTTTCATCAGACACTACACTCAAAATAAATAAAACATACATTAGACCAGTCATAGAATACAATTGTAGGGCATGGTTAAACGTTTCTAATACACAGCTAGAACAAAAGCCTATAAATTCTCCCGTACAAAAAACTCAACCTTCTTACACACATACTCAAACGTCCCTCGGTTATCTGTCAGACTCATTGGAAACTCGCTCAAATACTATAAGAAAAATAAAAACAAAAGAACTGACTAGCAACTTAGAGAGGTTTATCATACATGATGGACAAAATCAGAAGTACTTCTCACTACTAACTAGAATAAAAATTATTTTTAAAACGGCCACTTAGTGCTAGGCATTACAGAATACTTCCTGTACATTTATAATGTTATTTTAAAAAGGGTTTATTTTATGTGTAATAAAATCTATTTCTATATAGTACAATTTTGTGTAAACTTTGTGTAAACCTACATCAACGATTAGTGTGTAATTGTTTAAAATTGATGATATCAGCCCATAATATGGAGAAGGCCTTAAAAGGGCAATGCGAAATTTTACTCACGGACGATAAGAAAATAAATCTTGCATTGTGTAAGTGTGGGAAGTGAAAAAAAAGGAAATAAAACCTCAGCAACCTGGTCACAACAATGATAGCGTGGACTCCGTGGAGACATCTTACAGTGTAAACTCGACCAAACTACAATACCAAAAAGCAGAAATTTTAAATAATATGTTCCAAAAATCATCTTAGAAGGAAAACATCTGGTACAGCAATAAAATAACAAAGTAAAAAAAAAGCACAAATCTACTGATAGAGGGGAGAAAGAGGTCTAATCCTCCCAGATCTAACAAAATCGGACCTAAAAATCATACAAAACATACATTAAATCTTTGTTAAAATACTGAACAGAACTAAGTACAAATACAATGAGAACAGTTAACTGAATTAAAATGAGGGAATTTAAGACTGACTATAATAAAAATAAACTTAAAACGTACACTGTTTGGCTGGTATATAACTACACAAGCAAACGATACTTGTACAAGATAACTTCACTTGCCATCCGTTGTATCAGCTGTTGTTGTCTCCTTCATCTTCCACTTATATTTTTAATGCATTTTTCAGGATTAAATCTTTCAGTCCTTTCGTTTTTTTGTGAATTTTAGTTGACTAATTATTCTTGATTAAAAACACTAAAGGCCTGAAAGTGATGTATTTCTTTCCTTGTTAAAGAACGCCTTCTCTTGATGTTTTTTTTTTACTTACTTTAGCTAAGAAATTAAAACTGACATTCAAACTGTCGTCTCTCAGACTACAGAACCTCGAAGAAAATTAAATGTATTCTTAAAATAATCCATGAATATTGTATTTTGTTTCAAATATATAACAAAGGAAACACAGTAAAATGAACGAGAAATGGAAGAATTAGAAATTAAAAAACTATAATAACAGCTGACAAAAAAGTTCTTACTACCAGAAATGCACAACCGACTTAAACAACTCCATCCAGAAAGCCGAGATAGAGTTACAGTGCTGAATTTCTGTCAGATGTTTTAAAAGACATTAAGCTCGACAATCTTCGGATTTTATTCCGACCATGAATATATAAATAGACGTGTTTATCATTTCTGGAAACACTGAATATCTGTACTGATTACACCAGTATATTTTTAGAAAAGATAAGCTTCTTCGAGCGACTCACATGAGTCTTATCTTAGAGTAGCAACTTGACAATAAAATTTGAATCAATCAAAAGTGAATCCTACTGAATATAAAATTACGATTTACTTTCTAATATTATTGCTAATCTTAAGAAAAAGAAAAATACTTTAAGACGTTGTTGAAAAAGATGACAACGCAAAAATTATAAACTAATTTATCTTTTATAACGTTTCATCCTCGGTCAAATTAGGTATTCGAAATGTATTATTCTCCGGTGTTCTTATTTTTCCTATGGTAGGTCTATTGGGACTCGTAAAATAGTAAGAGGTTCGATAGAAAATGTTATGTAGACTTAAACTGTGTTCTTTGACTCTGACTGAGCTGCCCGGCATGACCAGGTGGTTATGGCGCTCGACTCGCAATCTGAGGGTCGCGGGTCACACCAAACATGCTCGCCCTTTTAGCCGTGGGGGCGTTATAATGTGACGGTCAATCCAACTATTCGTTGGTAAAAGAGTAGCCCAGGAGTTGGCGGTGGGTGGTGATGACTAGTTGCCTTCCCTTTAGTTTTACACTGCTAACTTAGGGACGGCTAGCGCAGATAGTCCTCGTGTAGCTTTGCGCGAAATTCAAAACAAACAAACAAACAAACTGTTTGAGCTGTGACAGAGAAAGAGACTGGAAACAATATAAACTACAGTGAAAATAATATTTATTTCACAAAGAATGAATGGGTTCACCTTTATTTGAAGTTTGAGAACTCTCGAAAATATTTGCTGGAAGTTTGTGAAAATCTGGTCAGAACTACTGTAGAATTGTCCCAAACTGAGAAACATAGAAATAGTATTGTTTACATTAAACTCTAATGCTGTTCTTTATAAGGCAGGTGTACTACCCACGCCACTGTTGGTCATTCCCATCGAAAAGTAAGGGAGGGAAAACCTCAAGGTATCACTTTAACGCCAGTAGGATATATCGCTATCTACTTCCATATAGTATGTTCAGCTTTACAGAAATTATTCCTACGAGAAACTACATGTCATACCACAGCTTAATAACCCAGGGCAATAGGTACTAAGGGGTAAGTAACTTAGTTAATTCCTTGTCCAAAGTTTAGTAGTTACACATACTTGTAGAATAATGAAATATAGTAAATCATTCACTTTACATTTTATGAGAAAACTATTATAATAGAAAAATATATCTTCACTCTATCTCTTAAAACAAGAAAACTTTACTCCGAGTAATTGTGGATCATGATCCGTTTCCACATGTATACACGCTTCGTACTTTAGGACAGTGGTTACGGTATAAGAGTGATGGACCAATTTGCACTATTTGATCAAAAAAGAGTAGCACAAGAACTGGAGGCAGTGGGGTAATGATAGATGAAACAGCTGCCCCAGGGACTCTCAAAATGTATATTTGAAATTTTGGAAATTATGAAACACTGAAAAAGTTTTATTCGGGAGGGGCAACAAATATTTTACCTCAGGATCCTTTGAAACCTAGTTATGCCATTTGTTGGAGGTAAGTATTGTTGATTAGCTGTCTTCTCTGCGATTTATCACTTCAAAATTAGTGGTGGCTATGCTCAGATAATCCTTTCGTAGCTCTGCGCGAAATTTTGAAACAAACACACTCTTCGATATCAGCTTTCTATCAAAGATGCGTGTGTGCAGTGTAAACACTTTTACAGGTGCAATAACCTCTATCAGCGTAGGCTCACACAGATGCAAACGACCTAGAAAATCTGACAAAGATCGTTTCTGAAAAAAAAAAGAAACGATTGAGGAATTACATTTGTTTGGTATCAGTTTTATGAAGGTGTTCTAGTTACGCTCTACAGACTGTATACTTTCTTTAAGATTCTTCATTTACATTTTGTAAAAATAAGGAATAGGAATTATCCGTTCATTTTCCAGTGAGATGGAACTTAATTGCTGTATTATGTTAGCTAGAAAACACTAAAATCTAATAATCTAAATTATGTTCTTTTAAAATGTTTATTGACTTTAATTCAGTAAGTATACTAGCTTACTAGTTTGCACTCTTCGTATCTAACAAAATTCAATCTAAAAATAAACAGTAATCTATTGTAGGGTTTTTACTGAATCGTTTTTGGCTATATCCTTTATTTCGACTAAAAAAACGCAAAATCTCAGTCATATGACGAGTATGTTAATTCTTACTGGGTATAACTTTAATTTCTGAGGTACTCTACACTAGTTTTATTTTTCATATTTGAAATGCTAAAATAAACAAAACAAAAAGCCCAACATGTGCTATAAGTAAATTGATTAGCCTTTTCTTTTTCTAGTTCAATGACAATGTTACTTATAAAACTCTCCTGTTTCAGTTAAACTCGAAAGCTTCATATGATGAGAGTAGTACAAATATATTGCCAGCATGTGAAGAGATAAAAGATGTAATAGCATGTGATAGAAATATAAGATTATACTTTTTTTTCATGACAGCTCTATTTTTCACCGAGATTTTCAACATGTTAGTTGTTGTGTTTGTCCATAGAGGTCCTTTAATGAACTGTACAACAATAGAACTAAGACTACAGTGTAGATGATAGAAGCTGGAGTTCCTGAGAGCGAGAATATATCGATTGAAGGTGACTCGTTCTCGTATTAGTGCTGGCTCAGCCGCATGGATAGTCTATTTCGTCAAGATCGAAGCAGTGCCTGTACCTGCCTTTCATGGTGTCCAAGAAATGCCAGCCATTTTCTTTCATCTTTTACTACAAATGTAAGAGCCACAGGAAAACTGGTAAGCTGGCGCTCTCAGCGAACAGGGTGGTTGACAAAGTTAATAATGAGAAAATATCTCTTGTTTATTTTGCAGAAACTCTGTTTAGGCTTAATGGTAAACGAGCATAGATTGAGTGCTTTGGAAAGGTCAAATATATATACATATATATTCAATTAACACAATCATAGGATTATAATATTTTAAATTTTAAGAAGGTATGTAAATCAGAGCTCGTTTTCAGCGTATTTACATACATAAAATGCCTAATGTTTTGTTCTTAAAAATGTCTAAGACGTAAATCAGAGAACAATTCATGAACTAATCTATTCTTATTAATATTAGTATTGGTTTTACAGACGTGCAGTGAATGTACATCCTTAGAACAATCTTCATTATGAATTATGGACGAAAAAACGCCCAACCAAATACTGCATGGATTTTGTTGATCAGTTTAGATCTAATAAAGTTAGTCAGAAAATCTTAAATGTGTATAATTTTTTGTTAAAAAACCATCTTAAATCGTTATATTCTCTTTCTTTACTGATGTGAATACCACATCCTATGACTTTTTAACTTACAGCGAGTATCTACAACTAACGATGATGTTTGTGTCACGAATGATGCTTGTAAAGTGATGTATATTACTATTAGTAACGTATACAAAAGTACAAAACGTTTGAGTTAGACCAAGACCTAAAAGGCTTATGTTTTTCTATGCTAAAATGGGATATTAGTAGCAAGAGAACGATTGAAAACAAGCAATTCTATTAATAAATAAATCCAATCTTGTAGTCTCATACTGTAGATTTCTGAAACGCCTGCATCTATTCTGAACTTTCTGAGATAATTAAAAGAAGCGCGTGTGTGAATACTAAGACAAGCGTCAATGATATAATGCGGATGAGAACACGCGTTTTCAGAGCGATACACGTGACGATAAGAAGTGAACGTGAAGATCCTATCAAGATCAAAATCAGTAACTGTGTATAACTGAATCAGTAACTGTGTATAACTGAATCAGTAATTGTGTATAACTGAATCAATAACTGTGGATAACTGAATCAGTAATTGTGTATAACTGAATCAGTAAAAAAAGTTTAACAACGGCCTCTCTCGGGCAACTTTAGCCCTTTTATATCACTTTTTTTGTGTGTGTGTGTGGCTGTGAACGCAACACGTCACCTTTGGGGTTTGGGTTGTTCCCCTCTCTCAGGGAGATGTGCATAACTGCACATTTATTTATCAATGAATGATAGAGTGTAGCTGCTATTTTTAATTCTATAATTCCGTATATACACACGAATACATATATATGTATCTATATATAATTGTTGTGAGATATACACAGTTACTGATTCAGTTATACACAGTTACTGATTCAGTTATCCACAATTACTGATTCAGTTATACACAGTTACTGATTCAGTTATACACAATTACTGATTCAGTTATACACAATTACTGATTCAGTTATCCACAGTTATTGATTCAGTTATACACAATTACTGATTCAGTTATACACAGTTACTGATTCAGTTATACACAGGCAAAGCTCTGTCGTTATTTGTACTCGTGTGTAATTTTGGAAATCGGGCGATTCTTTGAACAAGCTTTCAGAATACTATATTGTAGTCTGTGGTGGACATAATATAATTCCTTCTAGTTTGCGTCTTAGCGACCAAAGTCCAATATCGTGGCAAAGAAAAGCCTTAAAGTGGTGACAAGATATAAAAGTTACAAAGATTTGCTACTGAACATTGTATAATGTCTATTTTTTAATAGCAGGCTTAGTTAAACCAAGCTAATATAAGCCAATATTATCAATAACGTTATATAGTGTATTTAAAAACTCTTCTTCGTATGTAAGTATCCTTCATGCAAAGTTAAAACATTTCTTTTTCGAACTTGTCCTCAAAATCAAAATAGACTCTAATGGGATAAACTGTGGTACAAATCAAACTATACATATAAGTCAATAATGAACAACTTTTTAAATCGAACGTTTTATAAACAATTTCTATGAACATGAATATTAACGTTACTCAGAGTGAAATAACAAGAAAGTACTAAGATATTTTCATGAAATGGACTGTTCACTAAGTTATGTTAGAATCCGATCCAAAATTTTGAATAACATTGAAACTTTCTGCAGAAGAGACCGATTTCTTCTACTATGGAGAGTCGATAAACATTGAATGCTTTTAGTAAAGTGCCGACATTTTCAAATAAAAATGTTTTAGTATTGATCGTTTTAGTATACTACAATGTATCAATTACTTGGTGCATTAAGTTGTGATCAACGATAGTCAAACAACTTTATCTACACAGCAACAAATCGCTTTGACTCGTAACGGCGATCTTGCGCTTCACACTAGCAGGTGTAATCGAACGTAATACGTCTCAGGCTTTCAAGAAGCTAGTTCTGACATACGTTTGGTTTTACCACAGTGTAATAGTTAGTACTTACATACGTTTAGTTTTTACCACAGTGTGAAAGTTAGTTCTGACATACGTTTAGTTTTTACCACAGTGGGAAAGTTAGTTCTGACATACGTTTAGTTTTTACCACAGTGTATTACTCGGTTCTGTAAATTTAAACAGCGAGGCTCTGAATTATGCGCCCCCCAGTGGCACGGCGGTATGTCTGCAGACTTACAACGCTAGAATCCAGGTTTCGATACCCATGGTGGGCAGAGCACAGATAACCCATTGTGTAGCTTTGTGTTTAATTACAAACAAACTGAATTATGCACGTCGATTTGATTTTTGATTAGGTTTTCCATTTCGTAGGTTTCAGTACCGTTACATTTATAAATATTCAGCTTTCTTTACTTAAATGTTGTTTTCGATTTTAATTTGATATTTAACACTGAGCTTCAATCTTTTACATATTTAAGTTATTGAAAATCAGATTACTGCGACTGGTCATCCCTGTTACAAAAAATACTAAAGCGAAAAGTAAAGTATTATTAACTTTTATAAATAAAGATTATAGGTTGTTTGAGTAGAAAAAAACTGCATTTATATTTTAAGGAAAAATTAAAAAAGAAAAAAATATTTATTAAGAACAAAGTTTCATACTGTGACGTTAAAAAGGATATAAAGTATTTCTTATAATATTCATTTTTGATGTGTATGAAAGACTAAGCTGTAAGCCGTTTATTTCTGATTTTATATCGTTAGTTAAATATATTTACTCACATGGTTTATGTTACAAGAAAATTAAGTTATGTGTAACCGTCAAGTTCTTCTTGCCTCACTTTAAGAAACCAGGTTTTCACTAGAATGGAGGTGATGGAATATACATATATCAAAACAATCACCCAATAATCTCCAGTCAGCCGTCTAGCTGAGTTACTCGGCGTTGCACGGTGAAAATTTAGATTTGTAATGTATGGATCAGTATTTTTTTCAGCAAATTATTCAGTAAGTAGTCAAAAGCTGTGATGCGAGAAATAAAAAAGCATTTAATCAAACAAAGCTTTATTTGAAATTAGATCGTGTTTGAGCTTGTCTTGTTCTTTGAGCCTGAAGTCGTACATCATGTTGCTTCTCTGTTTCTTCCTCTCTATAAGTTATTTGTCTTAATTTTTGTGCTTGAAGTCTGGTTTGACGTGGTTCAGAAGTTTCTTCTTGTCTATATCCAGCTTGCCTTGATGATTCTGACTGAACTCTGGCTTTGTGCTGTTCAACAGTTTCTAGCCGTCTTTGAGTAGCTTGCTTTTCAGCTTGAACTTGAAGTCTAACTTTACGTTGTTTCAAAGTCTCTTCCTGTATTTGAGCATCCTGTCTTGCAGCTTGTGCTTGAAGTATTTGATTGCGTTCTTCTTCTGTTTCAGCTGCTCTTTGTGCTTGCATTCTTAATCACCTGTATCAGTAAACAATAATTTGTAATTCACAAAGTTGCTAAATCCCTTATGAAACCACTTAGCACTATTTAATAAAAACTGTTTTTAGAAATACTGAATTAACAGCAAGGTGATCTGAGTGTCTCCCGCCATAACGCTTTCTATGTGCAAAACGTGCTTATGTTTGTCTGTTTATTACAAAAAAAATCATGACAAAAAAATGGCGCAATAATCATTAATTGTCAATTTCGTCATTAAATACTACACCAAATACAAAATAAATAGCACCATTAAATTTCTTGTAAAAAAACTGGTTATTATGAAGTTATTTTAAAATTTACAAGTTCAACCGTTTGGTTTCCTATAGCGAACAAAATAAACAAATAAACAAACTTCCTCTTTGATATATATAGATAAATTGTTCTGTAATTTTTTGTTATGGTCTTTGTGAGTGTTGCGATATCGTTTTTTTTAATAAATAAAACGACCATTAAGGTAAGCAACTGTGTAGGTTATGGTACGAAATTATTTTTTAAAACTTCATGCGTAAGTAGTGTAATACTTTACAATTACAATTACCAATAACGTCATGAAATTCAATTGTGACCTCAAAGTTAGGCTAGAAGCTACACAGTAATAATATGTACTCGTTGCGTCGAAATTTCAAATGTAAGCTAAGCTAATTATGGTGTGTATGCTTTGAGTCGGGATTTCACACGTAAGCTAAGCTAATGATAATGTGTACACGTTGAGTCGGGATTTCATACGTAAGCAAAACTAATGATAATAATATGCATACGTTGTAAGTTATGACATTTCTATTATTTTACTGTTCCGCAGTTTACTGTTTTTCACAAACTAACAACACTGTAAGTGCTAAACATATGGAGCTTACTGCCATTAGTTAACGAATTAGCTAGGTCTAATAGGCATATAAGATTCGTTAACTTCAATAGATTAAATACTAACATTGATATCATAGCTTGTGTGATGTGTTACGTGTATTAAGTATTTAGTCTTTAAGCAATTCTTTCCAAATGTTACAATAACTTACAGATTAGTGATCAGGTCTCTTCTTAAATGGACGTAATATACAACTAGCCATTAAAGTGATTTTTTTGAGTCAACCACGGAGAATCATTTTATTATGATTTTTAAAACAAACACTAG